TAATAATTTAGTGTATCCTAATTACATATATAGTTTACTTTTTAATCCATTTTACCTCTTTAAAAAAAGGGATCATACTATATATTCTTCAACAACCTGTTGTTTTCTCCATTAAAATTCTGCTTATGTTCACCATGTAAGAACTTGTTCGTTATGCTTCAGAAGATTGGAGACTGTTTAGAATCAGGCTTGGGGTTGATTAATGATTGTGCATTGAGTCCCCTATACAGAATTTTATTGTTGTTAACAACCATTTGATCAATAAATATGAGAGATGCCCTCTCAAAAAAAAAATTCTGCTAATGAAATTATATTAACACATATACCTCTAGTTCTTTCTTTCTCCCATTTGAATATTATTCGTAGAATGGATATACCACCCTTTATTCATTCATTTCTCTGTCAATAGTTACTTCTGGTTTATGTTAAAATTTTATTTTATAACTATCAGTATTATAAAACTTTTAGTACAGGCTTTCTTGTACATATTCAAAATTTTCTCTAGAATGCATATTTCTCATGGTGATACTTCTAAGTTATAGAAAAAGTACATCTTCAGCTTTACTGAATAATGCCATTTATACAAAAAATAAATGGTTTTCCAAAATGGTCATATATAATTTGAGTGTAATATATTGTCTTCCTGAATGTTTGTTAAGTGTTATCCTGTAATTTTGTTGTTTTGCTTTTTGATTTGTTTCCTTGGGCCTCAACTCTCCCTTTTCATCTCACTTCTATTTGCTTTATCATCTTGTCTTTAAATGTTTGTTCTATTTCATCAATATTCTCTTTCACTTGTACAATTACTATCATTTTATAGAGAAATGGGCTTTCAAACAAGTACGTGTCTTAACCACTGTCTTAAAGCTAGTAAGCAAAGGATCCAAGACTAGCACCCAAGTCTTTCACCTCCAAAAACTCTTGCTCTTTCCACTTCTTTGAGACAGAATATAATTAACTGCTATATTGTGTAGTATAGCTTCTAAAACTAATTAATCTTCCAAACTTGAACAGGCATAAATAAACACATATTTAACACACGTAACTCAATGAAAAACTTCCCAAATGAGATAAGAATGGCAGCATTCTAGGTGAAATTACTGCCCTGATCTAGCTTGGAAGTTACTATGATACTAAAAGGATGAATTTTGCTGCATGAAGTGTGTGTGTGCAATGTGTGTACATGTGTTTATTTTAAGCAGCTGGTACAAGGGTCAGGACTCTTGACACAGGCTTTTGAAACCCAGTGTAGTAACGAGAAAGCAAGACCCAAACAAAGATGTTATGTGGGTCTACTTGAACCTTGAGGGTATCTAGTGAAAGAGACTTTATTTGGAATATCCCTTGTCCTGAACTCTTAGAGAAAGACCAGGTCACACAGAGAAAAGCTGTGCAGCAATGAATATGGTGATAATGGAGCCTTCCTCTGTGGTAGGGGTCTCTTCCAGCCCTGGGAGGGACATAATTGAAGTTCTTCTGTTCCTGGAAAGGAAAGTTCTACTGAGCTTCAGTTTTGGAAGAATGGTGTATGAAATGACAGGCTAGCATAAAATTATCTCTGTACTGAGACTGATGTAAACCGAAGATGAAGGAATGCAGCAAGACTGACTCAAAGAATAGAGTGTGTCTTACATCTGGAATTAGCTGTTCTTGTGTCTTAGAGCTATGTATTGGTTGGGTTGATGTCCTGTATTCAAACCTAGGATTATCAAATAACTATTTTCATTGTTTTCCAAAGATTGATATGCAGGAGATAAACAAATATTCAGTAGAAAAAAACTGTACAGTATTCAAATAAGTTTGGATATCTTTAATTTAACCAAGCCAGTTTTCCTTCCTGCAGAATTCCTCAAAGCCATTAATATGCTAATGAACTCTCAGAATTGCTAAGAGGGTATGTATAATAAAGAAGTTCCAAAATAATTTGATCATGAGATCCTTATGTTCATGGACTCCTGGAACATACTTTGGGGAAATTTTGCTTTCTTATCATAAAATTTTAGAACTAAAAAGAGCTTTACAGCAACTCCAGTTTTAAACTCCAATTTTGCAAGGAGGGTGACTAAAATTTAGAGGGTTTAAGTAGCTTCCCTAAGGTCATATAGCCTTTGGTGGCAAAGGTGGGATTAGAATCCATACCTTTAGATTCCTTATTTAATGTTCTTTGAATCTGGTAATAAAAAAAAAATGAAGTCACAAGAGAACAGTGACCCACAGGCAGGCTTATTTGCTCACTTCAGCATAGGCAGCATGTCCTTCCTTACCAATTAGAATAATAAGACCCAAAATTATTTCCTATGAACCTGAAATTGTCCTCTGAGAGCTCATATAATTATCTCTTTCAAGCCTTATCGTATCTCTGTTCTCCCTGAAGGTTCAGGAGTCTAGGATTATTCTCTATAAATCCTCCACATAAAGTATATAACCCACTTACTTGGATATCCTATCATATTTGTCCCTCCAGGAAAACTGAGACAGTAAAGCTGCCTTCCAGCATCCTGGTCCAAATTGATGACACAGTTTTTTACACTGAGGCTGTGTGGACAACCTCCTCACACCCCATTAGCAGAATTTAGAAAGAGCTTGAAATTTAGAAATGGGGTCACCTTTCTGGCAGGCAGCAGAGCAGCATATACAAGAAACTCTTCAAAGTTCCCTACCTTTTAATTTTGGAGGAAGTAATAGGAAGTATGCCCCCAAATTTAAATGCATTATTATTTGTCAATATACTATTAAACTAATGAAAAATTTGATATAACCTGAGTGTCTAATAACACAGGGCTGGTTAAATTAATCAGGATACATCTATGAAATACTATATACCTGACAAAAATTATGTCGTAGAAAAATGTCTAAAACAGAGCTGCCCAACAAGTATGCCAGGTACTGAGCCTTCAGTGGGAACTGGTCAGAGTCTAGTGTGGCCTGAGGCCCCTTCAAATACCTCCAACTACAAGCAGCCTTGTAGTCACCATAATATGCCTTAGTTACTGTTACTCTTTTATGTGTGCCATGGTGTAAAAAACATTTAGAAAACTGGTCTCAAATATATTACACACAAAAAAAAGATTGTGACCCAGATACACTCAAATGTCTGCCAGGAAATATACCCTGCCTACATCTGGATGGTGGGAATACAACTTATTTTTATTTTTGTGTTTTTGCTCATCTGCATTTCTCTTTCCTAGTGAACAGTAGCCCATAATAAAAATGATATGATAATAGTGATAGTTTTAATGCTTAGACAGCCCTTAATATGCTTATTTTATCCTCAAGTATGACTATGAAGTTGACAGTACTATTATTTTTTTCTCTATATAAGTACTGTTTCTAAATTCCAGATTTGAGGCTGTTAGGAACTGGACAAGTTGATGCAGGCAGAAAGGAAAAGGTGGAAATGAAACATATCTAAAAGGTAGAAATATGAAAACTAATAACTAACTGGCTGTGGACAGCAATTATGCCTCCAGGATATTGAGGATTACAGTATTCGTGATGAAAACAGAATCAAGGAGATACAAGATTATATAAAGATGTTAGCAAATTTAGAGGAATGGTTAGTTTTTAAGAAGAAGCTGAGGTTAGCTCTTTCCTTGTTCCTACTGAGGATATGACAAAGCATGCTGTTGGAAACAACCAGGTGATAGCTGGGAGCTCCGGGGAGAGAGCAAGCCTACCGATGTCATGTGGACAGTCATCTACAGTGAAGCAGATCAGAGCCATGCAGATGAATGGACTCGCCCAAGAAGAAGATGTACAGAGAAAAGCAAGACAGCAAAAGCTTTAACCTTCAAGCTTTGTCTCCACAGAACCCCATGAACTTTACTGTCAAGTGTGGAATAATGACACAATGGAATTCCAAGAGCCCTTGTGGATGCAGAAGTGTTGACGGTGGATGACATGTTCACATCGTGTCTTCATTGTTTTTCCATAGGTCAGAGATTACTTAATTTTTTTAAAGATTTAAGTAAAAGAGACTTTTAATAAGCTTATAAGACACATGATGGTGAACAACACCTTAGAAGATTGGATTTGAAGTGAAAGATGCCCTAGTCATGTGAAGAAGTGATCAGAAATTGAGAAGATGCAATTGAATCATAACAAATGCATATTATACTGCATTTAGGATGGGGAAAGGAACCAAGTTACAAAAATACAAATGGAAGGTCTCTGACTATATATAAATACAGTGGGCAAAGATCTAAGAGTCTCAGGGAATCACAACTTGAAAAGGAATGTGCTTTGTATATTAATGCTGGCACATATAAAATGTTTATTAGGAAATATTTTTTCAGGCAGTAGAAAAATATAAGTGTAATAATGCAATCACTTGGCATATTTGGCTTTACAAAGAAATATAGTAGAAATACAGCAAATGTATTTCTCTTTAAGGTCCCTCTTTTAAGAGAATTCAAAACTATTAAATTGAGAATACAGAAGACATAAAAAAAATGAGTACAAAACCATGAAGTGTATTTCTAAGAAAAAGTTAATGAACATGGTATTATTTATTTTTTGAATCAAAAGAATGAGGTAATTTAATAATGATCAGGATCATTAATTTGTACAAGATTATTTTACAGAACTTTTTGGCATGTTCATTATAAGTAGAACAATGGGAAATAAGTAATCCCCTAAAAGTACATGCATATATATATTTATACACATACATATATATATGTATATATATAAACACACACACATACAGAGATCACACATGCACACATATATATATGTATTTGTGGAAAGAGTCTGGAATGGTACACATCAAACTATTAATAGTTATTTGTGTGATACAGTTATAGTTGTTATTTGCTCTATATCTGTATCTTCTAATTTATGGTAAACATGAAATATTTGCACAATACGAAAAATAAGTTTATTTTTTTATTTAAAAAATTCCCGCTCATCCCTGTCACATGGTCAACCCTTAGTCTATAATACCTGTTTTTTATAAGATTCTATATAACAGTGCTGGTACCCTATTTTATCTTTTTCAGATGCTAGTGAAAAATAATCACCTTTCAGAGAAGATCATTGTTTTGCCAGGGAAAATTGAAGATATCTCACTTCCGGAGACTGTAGACGTGATCATTTCTGAACCAATGGGATACATGCTGTTTAATGAAAGAATGTTAGAGAGCTACCTTCATTCCAAAAAATGGTTGAAAGCAAATGGTAAGTTGACCAATTCCTGGTTCGGAAAATAGGCTAACTTTTCTGTAAAAATGTGCCATCTTCTCCCACATACTTGATTCTGGACAGAAAAGAGAAGAGATCGGTTCTTTGATTTTCTCATCTTATTTTTCCATAAGGAACGAGCTAGTCTCCATCCACGAAACCGTAGGTGCTAGCGTGCTGCATAGTATCCAGTATGGTACAGAGAGGCCCCTCAAAGTTCTGTGTTTCTGTCCCATTTCTGTCACTTTTTTCCTTAACAAACTTGACCTAACACTTAACCTTTAGGCACTGGTTTCCTCATCTGCATTATTAAATATATTCTCCAAATCCCTTTCAAATGCTGGCCTTCCATGATGTGAGGAACTGTCTGGGATCTACTTGTTCTTTCTGACAGACACTTTTCCTACAGTGTGCATCTGTTTCCGTATGATTACTAATATAATTGAGATAATAATATAAAATCCAGTGTTCTTTTCATGCTTACCAAGTGTCTGCATGTGCCAAGTAATTTGCATAGATTAATTTATGAAAACCTTACAAAGTCTGAAGGATGGAGGTTTTTAATTTATATGAAAGATTAGTGCTGAGGTTCTCAGTGGTTTTATACTCCTTCCACAGGGAACCTTTGGCAATTTCCAGACATTTTGGGTTGTCAGAACTGGGGAGGTGAGGGGTGCTACTGACATCTAGTGGGGTATACCAGGACTGCTGGTGAACTTCCTACAAAGTACAGGACAGCAGACCCCCGCCCACCCTCCAGCAGAGTTATCCCGTCCAAAATGTCAATAGTACCAAGATTGAGACCTGGCTTGGTGGGAGGCACTCTTAGGACCCCACTAATAGTTTAATTTCCCTAATAAAGAGAAAACAGACACAATAGGGGAAAGCAACTTGTCAAGGACACATTTCTGATAAGTGACAGAGCAGGGATTTGAACCCAGGTCCGTCTAACCTGAAAGCCCATACTCGTGACTGCTGCACAACACTAACTTCCCACACTTCACAAGAGAGTGGGTACATTCCAGCAGTACATTTTTTCAATTAAGGCATAGAAGGTAACTGGCCAGTTTTAAAAGTTGCATCTCTTATAAGAACTGCAGCATTTTACCCCAATTTTATTTACTTAAATTACCAATGTTGTGGACCCCACCTTGATGTCCAAAGAAGACAAGATAGTGAACAATTCCACTCATACTCACCACGTTATGCAGTAAATGCATGGAAGCAACGCTTGAGGCCCCTCTGTAATTTCATACATGCTCTCAAATTTAGGGATTCAGAAATAGGTACTTAAAAAAAATAGCACATACAGAAATAAACAAGCAAAGTATACCTAATGTCAAGAATTTCATTAGCATCCCTGTTGTAAAACAGCCCAAGATGATCTTGAAACCCTTGTGTTCACGTAACAAAGTTAACTGTGGAGATGAAAGTAAAGGAACAATGCTGCTTAGATTTCTTCCTCAATGCCTGCCAGAAAGAATTTTTATATTCTTTTCTTGGATATTTTTCAAATGGTTAGGTACCTTGTATGATGAGATTTTAAATGCAGTTAATTCACACTCATCTATTGAGTGGCTTTAAGCTGAATATTTAGATTTAATATCTATACATCCTTTTTCTTCAGATATTTTCATTGGATATGAAATTTTTTTATTGGGCTATGTATATTTAACCATGCAAGTGAAAATGAATACTGATTTGATAGGCTTTCTAGTCTGTGTGTTCTTGAGGATAGAATGTTTGATTTTTTTCTAATTATTTGTATTTTCCATCAAAGGAAGAAATAGTTCACAAAATCAATAATAATAAAAGGGCATCTAATGAAAAACAGTAACCCTCTGCCACACCTCTTCCTATCCTAAGACTGCTCCCCGAAGGCTGTTCTTTCAACTGCATTCGTGTTTTCTTCTATTATTTACCTACATATTTCTATGTAAAATTATCATATTGCTATTCTTGTCACTCTCTAGTTGAGAAGTTAGCTCTTCCACAGAGCAGCTCCTTCCCTTCCCTATCTCCATCTCCTCAAATAGGTAAACAGATCCTTGGTGCCTTATCCAAACCCCTGGAGCCACGTACCTTTCAGAATTCAGAATCTGGAGAACTTTGGAAAGGTAATAACAGTCATGTACCATGTATTATTTAATGCTCCAGGGGGATCTGAGGCAGCACTCCATAATGAAACACATTATATTTTTGCAACGAAATATATGAATATGGATACCAAGTAGGATAAATAAAGAATATAAATAAATTCATATCAGTTCAGGTCAGGTTTTTCCATCAAATGATGTTGCTGTAAACTTACAAAAATCTATTGCTCTGCAGAGCTTTTTGGATTTCACAATTTCATACAAGGGAATATGGACCTAGTTCAGTATTTGGTTAAATCAATAATAGATGTTTACATTACTGAGGCAATGTAAATATTGTTCAGTGCTGAATCAGTGGTAGAGTGGGTGCATATGATTATGTATTTTCCCATGAAATATTTTGTTTTTCCTGGAGTTAATTGCTTATTTTTCATTAGCTTAATTTTCTATATGCTCATTACTAATTGTTTCCATCTGACAGATCCTATCAATATTTATTCTGTGGAAGCCTGCCCCCCCTCCGTGATCCTCTGTTCTCCCCTACCACACCTGAGCTAGCTGCTCTCCAGTCCTACTGCATGGCTGCCATACTTCGACTTTCCATCATCATTTTTGTCTTCCTTCTTTTTGGTTTATACCATCATTTCAGCAAAATATATTATCTCACAGCTTCTGGAGAAAGGGTGCTTGAGAAGTTATTTTTATTGAAACTTTGTATTGTTATTTTGCAGGATAGAGGATTTTAACTTGAACACAATTTTTTTATTGAAGTATCATTGATATACACTATTATGTTGATTTCAGTTATACAACACAGTGGTTCAACACCCCTTCTAGTGCGGTCACTGGCTATCAATGTAGTAAGATGTTACAGAATCAGTAACTCTATTCTTCGTGCTGTACTACTGTCCCCATGACCCACTTATATTGCAATTGTGAATCACTGTGCCCGTTTATCCCCTACCCCTCAACCCCACCCCCTCCCCCTTGTTGACCACTATTCCCTTTGCAGTGTGTATGAGTCTGCTGTTATTTTGCTTGAACACAATTTTTACTCAATAGTTTTAAGATGTCTTTTTTTTGTTTCTGGTTTCCAGTACAGCTATTGAGAAGTCCAGTGACATTCTGATTCCAGATCCTTTACAGTGACACAGTTTTCCCCTCTGGATGCTTTTAGTATCTTGTTTTATTCCTCGTCTTCTTAGTGTGAACCATTTAAAATTCTTCTGTTGGACAGTGAGTGAAAATGTTTAATCAGAAGACTCATTTTCTTCAACACTTAGAATTTTTCTTATATTTTACCTTTGATGATTTCTTCCTGCCCATTTTATCTGATGTCTTTGGAATTCCTATTAGGCTTGAGGCTCAGAGCATCCTTCTGTGAAGCTTCCCTAGTTTACACAACCAGCAAAACATACAAATTTTCTAAGGTTGTTTAATATCCTTCTATCTTGAAATCGAAAAACCACTAAGCAATTATTGCTTTGACACCACTGCATGAGATTTAGATGGAGATGCAAATTATGTTACAATTGTGCTTTATCTTTGTCCATCTCTGAACATACCCCAAAGAAAATAATCTCTTCTATTTCAACAGACATTAAGGAGAATATAATGAAAGTATGGGGCCTTTGACCATCAGATGAGATTCTAATCCTGGATTTTGCCCTTCCACTTATTAACTCTGTGATTGTGACTGAGTCACTTAAATTTCACTTTTCCTTAGTTTTCTTATTTGTAAAATAGGTATGATAATAGAACCCACTATATACTGTTGCAAAGATTAAGTGAATTAACACATAGAAAAGTTCATGACAGAGATAATGTAATCAAGAGATTTTAGTTATTATGATGATGATGATGATAGCATCTCCAGTTTCTTAGGCAATACTCACTGCTGAGGTAGGCTTAATAGTTCATTTTCATTCATGTGCAGCTTAATAAATAAGTATGAAAAAGAATGTCCCTAAAATGACAAGACTAATAATAATAACCATGTCTACCTGCACAGAAAGGCCTGAACTGACCTCAAGCATGCCAGTGTAGGTGTTCCTTTGGCCACTAAAGAATCTGCCTTCCTCCTGGTGACTGTTGATGTCAGGAACAAAACGCAAGTGTGCGTGCCCCAGCATGGAGGACGTGAGCCTCCATATAAACATAGATTCTAACAACACTTAAAAATATAGTCAGTATGATTATACGTGGACAAAGTCTGAGAATGAAAATAATAATGTGATAGAATGATGAAATGTTGGTTGTTTTCAAAACCAAGTTGTTCTTACAGTAGGTAAGATAAAAAAAAAAAAAAAAGTAAAGTAGTGCACAGAATTCCAAGCACAGGACATGGTAGAAAGGAAAAGGCCAATAACCAAGAAGACAGATGTGCTGGGTGAAGTGCCCCACCTAAGCTTTGACAAACTTCTGTCATGACAGTGCTTCTAACTTGTTTTGGTGTTCTTTTTTACATCCCCTCCAATCTTCTGCTTAATTTTCTTATCCTCACTTTGAGGCAAAATTACATTTCAACTTACTGTGTAATAACTGAAATACAACAAAAAAATGGAATTGGTCATGTGACAGGTGAGTGTGCCTTTCAGCTAGAAGGCCGCACAAGTCACCTTCTGGGTCTGTTGTCTTTTGCTCATTAGGAATGATGTTCCCGACATTCAGCGACATCCACTTGGCCCCCTTTTCTGATGAACAGCTCTACATGGAACACTACTCCAGAGCCAACTTTTGGTAATGTCTTCTCACTTCCCTTCCTTTTCTTAAACTACAGTTTCTAAATGACATTTGGGGTCACATAACTGGGGAGAGGGGAGGTTCCTGGGCACTGTAGCATGTTCAGCAGCAGCCCTGGCTTGACCTACTAGATGCCAGTGGCACCTTCCTGCTAGGCTGTGACAGCTTAGAATGTCTCCAGATACTACCAGGGCCCATGGCAAGTGGAGTCGGGGGGTGATGCAAAATCATTCCCCACTGAGAACCACTGGAGTAGACAAATCAGGGAGCTGCGCTGCACGTCAAACACCCAAAAGACTACCCTGCTACTGAAATGGCAGCACCCTCCCCTGCCAGCCGTGCCTCCTCTCCGCTTTTCACCACCCACCCCTTTGGCTCGGAGCTGTGGCTTCTCGGAGAATGTGCCTTTGTCAGAACATGTCAGTCAATACACCTGGATGTAAATGAGTTGAATGACTGTTTTTTTTTAGTTTTCACACTAATTGACTGTTGGCTTTTGGGCAACCAACTTCACCCTATGGGATTCCATTTCTTCATTTAAAAAATGAGAACTAATACAAAACCCCTGCCAGTTCTAAACCACCATTCTTTCTGGCATTCTTTTCTGAGAACTGGTTTCTATAAGGAGAAGGAGGGGAGGTGACTGATGATATTGGTCCCATTGGAGTGAGAAACAGAACAGATATCCTCTGAGTGGGAATGTTAGGCATGTAAGAGGGAGCACAGGCTCGTGTTGGCAGATGGATGAGGATGGATGCTAAAATGTAAACTTTGAGTTCTGGCTAAGGTATGCAGAACCTTCTAGTACAGAGAATATGCAAAGTTGATTTCTGGGTTTTTCTCTTTGTAATACTGTCCCTTGGTGAAGAGGCAGCAAATAGGAGGAGGTTTGGTTTCCTGGGTTACAAAGTTCTTTAAGGAGCAGGGTCAGAGCTAAGATTTTTTTTCACCCTAATTTTTTCTTGCAAAATAGGCTTTCCTACCACATATTTGCATTTTGTGGTTTCTGCTTAATCTGTAATTCTGACATTCTAAGCCACACAATTGCCAATGGGGTGGATGGCCTTTTGGTATGTGCAAGGTAAGGAGGTGGAGGAGACCTTTATTATGATCATTGTCTGTGAAGTCAGGATGACCCTAAATGTTTACATTTTTAAATGTGACCCCCTGAGTCAATGAAGACGATGATGAATTAGGAATTTTCAGTTAACAGAGTAGACTAGACTAGTGGAACAGTGGGGAGGGTTGTTGTCAGGCAGTCCTTTTGTGACCTCCCAATTCTGCCCTCTGTGCCATCTTATTATCTCGAGAATATTAATGGTCACACTGGATTGGCTAAGCTCACCATTAGCATACAAACATGCTGCTATTGTTCCATGTCAAAAAAAAAAAAAAAAGCAACTGCCTTTCTTAAACCTCACTTCCCTGGTCTCCCACCACCCATCTCTGTAAGCCCTTTGTGGCAAAATTCCTCAAAATGGTTGTGAGTACTCATGGTTTCCAGCTACCCACTTCAATTTATCTCTTAAGACATTCCTCCATGATCACTCTTATCAAGGTCACCAGTGTGCTGGCCTCCATGTTGGTAAATACAGTGATCAGTCCTCTCGTCTCAACTTGTTTAACTTACTGACAACATTTGAGCAGCATATGAAACACTTACTTGCCTCACAGGTTTTTTTTATTTTTATTCTGCTTCTCTGGTCACTTTGTCAATGAGGCCCTTCCTGGTTTAACAACCAGGAATTATCTCAATTACCGGATGTTGGAATGCCCCAAAGACGGTCTTAAACCTCTTCTCTGTCCACAGTTAACCCTTAATGAGCTCATCCATTCTCCTAGCTTCAAATACCATCTGTATGCTAATGACTCCCACGTGTATCTCTCCAGTTCAGACATGTCCTGTCAACTCCATATTTTTTAGCCAGCTGCTTCCTGGATGTCTCCCCTTGCGGAGACTTACCATCCAAAACTCAACCCCTGGTCCTCCCCACTTCCATCCAAAATCTTATCTACTTACAGCATTTCCACCTCAGTTGATGACAACTTTATCCGCCCAATCATTCAGATGCCAAAACTTGAAGGCCTCTGCCTTTGTCCCCCATATTTAAGCCATCAAGAAATTTTGTTGGTTCTGCTTTCAAAATGTATCCAGAATATGACCAATTCTCATTATATTCAGTTTTTCCTTGATCCCAACACTACCATCTCTCCTCTTGATTATTGCAGTAGCTCCTTAGCTTATTTCCAGCATTCCCAGAGCCTTTTGGTAGGTTCTACCCAGTGGGGCTCCTCATTTCCTGACACCCAGTTCATTCAGCTCCAGCCACACAGGCTTCCACGCTGATCTTCAGACACACCAGGCATGTTTCCACCTCAGGGCCTCTGCATTCACTGATCATCCTATCAAGAATACTTTTCCCTAAGTATTCATATGGCTAATTCCTCCACCTCCATAAAGTCTTTGCCAAATGCCACCTTCTCAATAAAACCTACCCTGGCCACCCTATTTAAAATGACAGCCATACCACTCCCAATCCCATTTTTCTGTTTTGTGTTTTTCCTCCAGCACTTATGTATTGTTTATTGTCTGTATCCTGATAGAATGTAAGCACTGCAAGGGCCCTAGCATCAGTTTTCACACATGTATTCCAAGCACCCAGAACAGTGCCTGCCACATGCCATTTTACTCATTTAAAAAATCTCAAGCATATATGAAAATAACTACAATTAATATTTTAGTTTTTATATCTCCAATTTTTCTATTCCTTTTCTTTATAAAGCTAGAATAATACCATAAATACTATTGTATAGCCTTTTTTTGGACATTATCTTGTTGACATGTTTTCATATCCTTTAAATGTTCTTTTGCTGCTGGATGTTTCTTTTGTGGTTACCTCATAATTTATTGACTCAAGATCCAATGTCTGATATTAAATTATTTTAATTATAGGATTGTTTTAGTCCTATAAATTCTATAAGAAACAACACTAAGGTATTTTTTTCTGTGTTCTACAGAAACGTAGGATTTTATAGAATCTTTTATCCTAAATTCTGTAAGAAACAACACTAAAGTGAACATCCTTTTATAGAAATCTTGGTGTGCATTCTGATTATTTCCTTACAATAAATTGCTAGAAGCAGAATTACTGGACCAAGAAGTGTGAAGAAGGAACTTTGAAAAAATTATTCTTATATATTGCCAAATTGCCCTGTAGAAAAGTTTCACCAATTAACACTTCCACCAGTGGTATATGAGAATGTCTGCTGTGTCTTGTCCATACGGAATATATTTTCTTAAATGCCAATTTGATTTGCAAAAAAATGGGTGGCCAGTTTATTTTTAATCTGTATTTCTTTGATAGCTGGTGCATTGAAACCGTTTTATTTTTAGTCAACAAACACCAAAAAACATTTAAAAAATACATAGCTATCAAAATTCACAGGCTTCACTCTCTTCTAATTCTCTTCCCTTTCTTTATATGAGGTTTCTAGCATTAGACCACTAGCATGTGGGCCTTTTGTTGCCTTGATTTTGGGAACAGGTGGTAAGTGCTTGTTGCATGATTTCCATTAGAACAGGCAGAGAAGTAGAAATGCTGGCCGAGAGGAGGGAGGAGGATGCAGAAAGATGAGTGTGGGTATATGCTGAAAGAATGGGCTGAAAGACTGAGGAACAACTCACAAGCTAAATAAATAAGATCATAGGATGAAAGTAATCAGTCCTTACCTGACTTTCCTATCAACATTTCCCACCGATGACTCTCAACTTTGCTCCTGCAGCAGAAATCTCATTTTCTGATTACTGCTGACTCCAACTTCTCAGTCTCGTGTGCTGCTTCTTCATCATGACCCAGAGTTTCAATGTTGGATTGACTCCAGGTTAGCTGCTCTTAGATGTCTTCTTCCCCTTTGTGTCCTTTCCTTACTGACCACATGTAGTATCCTGGCTGTAAATACTGTCTTTTTTATGCTGACAACTCCCGTCACTAGAACTCCAGCCCAGACTTCTCTGTGGAATCACAGATTTTGAATGTCCAACTGGCTTTTGACAACTCTATTTATCTGTCTATTGGGCATCTTAAATTTAACATTTTCCAAAGGCAAGCTGCTGATCTTCATCACCACTAGCTGCTCATCCCTACGAAACAAAACAAAACAAAAAAACAAAACAAAAAAAACCTGTTTCTATCATCATGTTGCAGTAGCCTCCTAAATTACTCCCTCTTTTCAAGCAACAACCAAAATGATCTTAATAACACATAATTCAGATTACATTCTTCTGCTCAAAACTTCCATTGGCTTCCCACTTTCTGCATAGTGAAAAGCAAAGTTCTCCTAATGGATGGTAAACCCCTAGTAAGATGATTTGGTTCCACCCTACTACCACTCCAATGCCATCTCCTGCTACTTCTCTCTTTACTCTCTCCCCTCTGGCCTCACTGGCCGGTCTCCTTCCCCTCGAACATACCAGGCTTGCTGCCACCTCCTTGCCATTACCTCTGCCTGAAGCACAGGTGGCCCTGGCGCTTGCTCTCACGTCCTTTAGGTCTTAGCTCACAAGTCATCTTCCCAGGGAGACCTTCTACCAATGAAACATTGTGATCTCTTCCCTCCTGGAAGGCCTTATCCCGCTTCTCATTTCATTTTCCCCTATAGCACATATTATCATCTGCCTTAATATATATTTTTATTTATTTATTGTCTGTCTACACTCATGAGACTACCAGTTCCCGAAGTGTGGCTGTTCTGTTCACTGCTGCATCCCCATCATCTAACCTAGCTAATAGTAGTTTAGTACATCTCCACTAACTAGAAGATTAATGCATTGATTTATAAGAATTCTTTTACATACGTAAGATATTAAGACTTTGTTGCATTTTCTTCAAAATTTTCACTTTGCTTGTAATCTTCTTGGTGAGGGTTTTCATGACCAAAGAAATTAAGCTTTTTTGTGTAGTTAGATCTACCAATATTTTATAGTTTCTTTCTTTTTC